TTCTCGGGCTCGCGGAGCTTGGGAGCGCCTAGATGCGTGATTGAAGAGATCGCTGCGGCGGTTCCCGGGCTCGCGGAGCTTAAGAGTGCCTAGATGCGTAATGAAGAGATCGCTGCGGCGGTTCTCGGGCTCGCGGAGCTTGGGAGCGTCTAGATGCGTGATTGAAGAGATCGCTGCGGAGGTTCTCGAGCTCGCGGAGCTCGGGAGAGAGTCCTCGTACTCGTAGCCTAGAGGCGTGTTTGAAGAGATTGTTGTGGCAGAGCGAGTCCTCTGACTCCTGGCCAATCGGTCGGTCAAGGCCTCGTTGTGGTAATAGTCGAACTCGCAGAACTCGGTAGTGGCTAAGTTTACCAGCGAAAGCCTGTTGAAAACGTCACTCGAGCTCGCGAGCTCGGCAGTGGCCAAGTTTAGGGCGAAAGCCTGTTGAAAACGTCACTCGAGCTCGCGGAGCTCAGCAGTGGCCAAGTTTAGGGCGAAAGCCTGTTGAAAACGTCACTCGAGCTCGCGGAGCTCGACAGTGGCCAAGTTTAGGGCAAAAGCTGTTGGAGACGTCGTTCGTGGAGCTAAACAGTGGTTGAGATAGGGCGAAAGCTTGTTGAAGACGTTGCTCGAGCTCGCGGAGCTCGGTGGTGTCCAATTCGAACAATTACCGAGCCTATCTTAGCCCGGCATGAAGTTAAACTCGTCGCCGCATTAGGGCAAGATAGTCGTTATAAGCTCGGCAGTATCGTTGTGCCCGAAAGTATCATTGTGTTTATAATCTCACCGGTATCGTAGTGTTGATGAGATCGACAACGGGTCGTCAGACTCATAATCAAACTTTGGGCAAAAGTCTGTCGTGGAGTTGCTCGGGTTCTCGGAGCTCGGCAGCGGGTCCTTTGACTTATAGCTAGATCAACGGCAATTAGCCCGTCGTAGGGGTGCCCGAGCTCGTAGAGCTCGTGAGGTCGTAGATATGAGAGTCATTGTTACAACTCGAGCAGATAGTGCGAATATCAAACGTTTTAAAGTGGCATAACATCGAGTAGGTTGCTCGAGGGCCATAAAGTCAAGGAAAGTGCAAAGTTGGCCCGAGAGCCATAGTTGCATGCAAAAGGAAGCGAAACTCCGACGGGGTAGACTGTAGGGACAGGATGAGCCCAGGACCCCGATGCCATAGTCTTATGAGATAGACTTGGGCTGGACATGATTGTTCTACTCTTAGACAAGTCTTACATTCCTAAGCTCGTCTAGAGTGGGGGGGCTAGATGATGTAACACCAAATATAACTCGGTGGACTAGACTGATCGGTTAGCTCGAATAAGGCCGGTACAAGGGAGCTTGGAGCCTGATTTATGTGACACATGATATTAGTTAAAGATATTCATGAAAGATTAGTGTATATCTACACAGTTATTGGGGAGTATCAGAATTCTTGTTGATTGAGGAAACTGATTATCTTGGGGAGTAAGTCATTAAACCCCTTATAAATAAGGGACCAGTTTCATTTTTTCTAATATGAAGCTCTTAAGATTACTCGATATACACGATAAAAAATATTTGTTTTCTGACTTGAGCGTCGGAGTGTCTACGCCGGGGCCCCGCCCCGGTGCTTTGCAGGTCGATCCGATTCTTGAAGACAAAGGCAATCGAGACGACCGAATGTTCATGCAATCGAGATGAGGCGGTTCGACCGGCAACCTTGGCAAGTCAATTATTTTGGCTCATCAAATTGGCAAGGTGAGTTCACTTTTACTAGCGTAGGGATTTTAGAGAAGACAGTTGTTATTAAGCCCATTTGGTCGGTGTATTTGGGATAAGAAAAAGAACTATTAAACGAAATTAATCGAGTCGAGTGCGAGTCGTTAGATTTGGCTGGATGGAATGATCTAATTCAAAGGTGGTATTGGCCGAGAGTAGAGCTGTTAAACAAAGTGAATCGAGTCGTTCATTAAGTGTGGATAGACTCGACTTGTCAACGCTCGATCTTGCTTGATTATCGAGCAGTACTGAAGTTTTTTTATTAACGAGACAAGCCTAAAAAATAGATATATTTATATATTTTCTTATAGTTCTACTTGTTAGGGTTCGAGTTCCGCTAACAAAAAAAATTACAAAACACGTCACTTAATTTTGATAACTCGCACATAGAGTATATATTTTCTTTAAATAAATATATCTATTTTTTGTAAATATAACGGGCCCCCATTTTGGAAATAAAAAGAAAAAGATAGCATTATGTTTTTTTGTCAATTTAAATTATTTCTACACAAAAAGAAATAATATATCGTTACAAATCCAAATCAAGCAACATGTGGAGGCAACACGAAGAGCCTGCACAGATGGATAGATTAACTAAACTCACAGCAGAATCTGACCAATGCCAACCCGCCAGCTCAGCAACACCCCCCCATTTAATCTCACCTTATCCTCTTCCACAGCCACCAGTCTCTTCTCCCTCCAAAATCTGATTAAAAAAAAATCATATTCTCACACACCATTAACACTCACTTAGAACAAAAAAATAAAATTAAAAAAAAAAAAAAAAA